TCAGTTTTTAGATATTTTACTTTTTAATGTTAGGCAGTTTATTATTGAAGGTACGCTATATAACTGACGCTTAAAGATACAATAGATCGCACGCCTCCACCATTGATTATTTGAATGAAACGTGCAATCGTTCCCATTCTTCAGTTTCAAAGTGATGCACGTACCAAGAACGCAAGTACAGACGTAAGTACACCAATCACCGATCACGACGGCGCAAAAAGGCGAGTGCGCTGCCATCACGGCGAGGATGTCTCTGCGCAGATCAGCGATGCCTTTTTTCACGTCAACATCCTTCAATTCACGGTAATGGGAAACAGAGTGGATGTGGCAAATGATTTTGAGTGTAATAAAGATGTACTTGTGATAAAATTATACCTAGAGTTTCGCAGGTCTGCATTCGTAAACCTGTTTGGGCATAATCGGATTGCGACAGCACTTCCGATGCAGTTGGCACTATATACTGCATACCAGTATACCATTTACAAAGTCCGTCCGTAAGTCCAGTTTACTCCCAAACTGGATCTCTTGAACTTGGTCATTGCCATGTTTTGTTGTTCCAGCAGTTTATAGAGCGTACGCAGCTAGTTCTTTTGTAAGCAGCGGATCAAATTTAGCACACCACAAATCAATGATAGTGTACCCATATTAAAATTATGGTTACACGGTTATCTGTTCAGAATCAAACCAGGGACTTCCGTCACGTCTGGCTACACTCGATTGAAATGCACAGTCACGCTGCGGCCTTTATAATGTTTAGTAGGTTCTATGAGTAGACAATTAATAATTTGGAGATCTTCAAAGTTTCCTTAAAATTGTTGCTTTAGGCTCTTGACGATGGACTTAGGAACTTGACGATGGACTGTGGTGCACCTAACTTTTTCTTTCGATGAAAAAAAAACAAAAATATAATGGCACGTTCAGTTGAACGCGATTTGTCGTACATTACTTATGTAATATTAATCCGTTGGCATAATAATAATAATAATAATAATAATAATAATAATAATAATAAAATTCAAAATTAGTCTTTTAGGCCTTGGGAGAGGCGAGAGTTTATAATAAA